TGAACCCGTGTTCCTGGCCTGCCCAAGTGCAGAGAGCAGGTTGGAAATGATAGAGAGGAGGATTTATGTGACATCTTCCAGATCTTGAGACCAGCAGCCACAGGGGGTGTTCCTGTGCGTTACACCAACACAATTCCCTGGCACACAAAACTCCTCTTTCAAGAGGTTTGTGTGGCAGCAAACTAAACAACGCCAAGCGCAGCCTTAGCCTTGGCTCTGGAGTGAGGTGCAGAGGGGCACACGGAGCAGTTTGAGTGAAGAAAAAGGAATGTGGCCTTTGAAAACGTGATTGAATTAAATGGGATTGTTCTCCCTAAAGTGAAATCTGTTGCGGAAACGTGAAGCCCTGGGCCAGGACTCGAGCTGCTGTCGGTCAGGGGGGCTGCGGGGCTGCTCTGCTGCACGTCAGCCCCTCGCTGCAGCCCTGGCCCTGTGTTGCCAGCAGGTGGTTGTGGTCAGGACGGGCACGGCCGTCTCCTGCTCCTGTGGTCGCGCAGGGCACTTACCACTCTGTTCGAATTGTTCCTGCTGTGGTGGCTGACTCTCTGTTTGTTGTAGGTGTTTGGCGTCCACATGAACAAATGGAAACTGGACAAGAAGCTAGGGTGTGTGTGCCTTTCCCTTTACGGCATCTTCCTGTGTTTCTCCATCATGACAGAGTTCAACGTCTTCACTTTCGTGAACTTGCCGATGTGCAGAGATCACTAGCGCAGAGGGCAGCCCTGGGGAGGATCCTCCTAACCTGTGCAATACAAACCACGGCCGGACGCGGTGCAGCTCCCGCTCGTGACGTGTGTCCCGCTCGCTGTTCCTAGGCCCTGTGGCCCCGTCCAGGTCTCCCCCCGCCCTGACCCCCGCCACCTGGAAACCCCTGCATGGGTGTGGAGATGGTTTTTGTCACCACTCGCGCGATCTCCTCGCTCGGTTCCGAGCGGTGACCGGGACTCTGGATGAACTGGCTGCTAACTGGCGACAAGCCGGGCAAAACTGGTCTGCTACAACTCCTTTTTTAAGTTATTTGATGGAAGACTAATTAATTTATGACTTAAGACTATTGCTACAATGCAGAAGAGGGTACGTTGTGCAGGGGCTGACTTTCGAGGAGAATCGTGGGAATCTTTTTGGTTGGTTTTTGGTCGGTTGGTTTTGAGAGGTTTTTTTTTTAGTTTTGATTTGGTTTTTTGGTCCTTCTTTGGATTTTATTTTTTTTTTTAATTGCCAGAGATCAACGTCCTCTCTTGCAGCTTCTCCTTCCGAGCACTGGGTCTCCCGTGACGCTCCGGAGGTCGCAGGGCGGCGCGATGTGGGAGTACAACTCAAGGTACTTGGCACACGAATGGATTCACTGCGTTGTAAAGACGACTGTCAAGGCAGCAGGCGATGACTTTCTACCACAAATAACGACTCTTGTACAGGTGTGATGAGGAACGCACGGTAAAGGTGGATCCAAAGGGTAAACACTGCCACCGTCTCACTACTAACGCTGGACTGTGTTAGTAGGGTGTTCATGGTATTTCCAAGCAATAGTTTGGTCGCCAGCCCAGGAGGGCTACCAAGGAGGTGTCCTGGCTTTCACTGACCTGGCAGGTCAGGACTTTCTCTGCTTCATCAGATTTTGTGTTCTGGGGGATTCAATAGTTCGTGTCTTACTCGTTCTGAGAAGGAGCTTTTGTAAATGAGTTACAGACACTGGTTTCTCTACGAGGAAAGAGGCGTATTTTGCACAGACGTAGTTACCGGAGTCGTACCTTGCCACTCTGTAACGCATACACTGGACCTGGCCAGAGACTTGTCCTGAGCGGTGGAGCTGACCGTAGCAGCTGGTGTGGATTCGTCCCCGCTCCTGCGGGAGGGAGCAAGGCACGGAGAGAGGTGGCACTTTCAGAAACGTGAATATCTTCAATGCAGACTCGCTCACAGATCCTAAGTTATTGTGGAAGCTTAGCTATTCATCGTTCCTATATCCCCGCTAGGTTTTGTATAATTCTGTATTAATATGCAGGCAGATTCCACCCCATGAGAAACACCGTCACAGCTTCATTTGTGTGTATTAATACTGTGGATTCCTGCCAGCGCTGGCTCTTGTATTTACTTTAAGCACTGATCACTTCTGGTTCATTTTGGTATGTTTTTTCCTCTTTCTTGTATATGTTCTCCTATGAAATGTATTGAGATACTACCAACTAGGTGAATGTTTTTGTCTATGGTACAAACAGTGGCAAATATTGGTAGTAAAGGCACAGCAAACCCTATGTAGAAGAAAGGGAAAAAAAAGCAAACCCAGACAAACAAGGTCAAAACATCAAACCCTAAACTAGGAAAAAAGAAAACCAAACTGAAAAAAGAGCCCCGCTCACAGAGAGAAAGCCCATTTATGTTTCATTTGCACTTTTGGAAGTGGTTTTTTGGTTTGATATTCCTTGGACAAAATGCTGTAAACCAGAGTGTCTCCCCGCTGGGCTTTCCCAGCTCAGCTCCTGATTTTGGTGTCTCGCCGGCGCCTGTCGATGCCGGTGCCAGAGCCCGTGGTCCTGGTGGGGCCAGGACTCCTCGTCTGGGGCCACTTTTCGTTGTGGGATCGGTGGTGATGCTGCCGTTGGAAAACGCCGCGGTTAGAGCAGCCCGCGCCAGTCCTGCGTTAGGGACCCCCGCACCTTCCTGGTGGTGACTGGGGCTTTGTTGCTGTTGTCTCTTTTTTGTTGCTGTTGTTGTCAATGAGATTAATAATAATAATAATAATAATAATA